TTAGAAACCACTTTGAAAATACCAAAGTATAGTACAACAACCATTCATAATAACCTACCACTTTTGCCTGTAACTCACAATTATTTATTTGTTTTCCTGAGAAACTATCTTGTAAATAACAATATGTAAAACAATGACCATTGATAATTTCCTACCACTTTGTAATTCAGTAAGCTTCCCTATTACTATGTTATCCTTCTTTTACTCTTTAAAATAATAATAAAAACATAGATACAGCTATGAGAGGAATATATGGGGTTTTATAATTGGACCCTGCCTCCAGGCACACACCTGATTCAAATGTTATCTTAACATAAATCAGGTACATTCCAGCCAAGATGAAATTACTTTTGTCCTAACCCATAAATATACTCTCTTTCTGATCCAAATTGTAGGACTCCAACTAGTCTAGCTGGCATCTATGTCCACCCTTCCATCAGGCCTGTGCTTCCCCAATAAATTGCACTCTATGCAATCTTAGATCTATCCGCCTCTTTCTTCAGTCTCATGGCACCTTGGGGTCTGTCCTCAAACATTAGGACTGAGTGGTTCTGGAACAAATTTGCTTAGAATGCAAAATCTTTCTGCATAACATTATAGTCTGTATTGACAAAGTCATCTATCATGTGCCTCCCCAGTGGACAGTAGGTTCACCACAAGGAGAGACTTTGGCTTCCTCACTGTATACTCCTGGTGTCTGGAACAGTGCCTGACTCAAAGGAAGCATTCAATTAATAACTGTTTGGTGAAGGTATGAATGATAACAGTTAACTAATATCTATTAGACCATTATTATACTCCAGACACATTTTTTTTCAGTACTGATGACCGAACCCAGGACTTTTGCACTGAGCTACATCCTCACCCTTTTTTAAACTTTTTAATGTTGAGACAGGGTCTCACTAATTCACTAAGTTTCCTGGAGTGGGCTTGAATTTTCAATCCCACTGCCTGAGCTTTATAGAGTGCTGGGGTTACAGGCATATGCCAATATGCCTGCTTATACACTGGTTTAAATGCTTTAGATTTATTATTCAAATGCTCTCCAATTTACTATTGTTCAACTCATGATTTTTTACTTTACAACAGATTTATTGGGATATGATATGCATTCTTTACTTATGCAATATTTTTGACTTGTGATGGGTTTATTGGGACAGCCCTATCTGCAGGAAGCATTTACACTCACTCAACTTTTGCAGAAGGTTGAGCTGCTATCTGCCCCACCTTGTAGATTTGTCAAGTAATTTGCACAAATTCTCATTTTATTTATAAGAGACAAGAAAAGCTCTTACCAAGACAGCCTGATTCCACAGTCCAAGCTCTTAGCCACCACAGCAGTAGCTGCAGGAACATCCCCTGGGAACTTGTTAGAAATGCTAATTATTCTTCCTTCCACCCTAAATCTGTGGAACCTGAAACTCCTTGGGTAGGGCCCTCTCTGTCTGTAGTGTAATCAGGTCTCCAGGGGACCTGACCATATTTCAGGCTGAGCCCTGTTCACTGCACCATACTGCTTCTCAATCTTTGAGTTTCCCAGGACTACACTTTCTAAGAAAAATAGTGGGTTCTGTCAAAACACAAAATGGCAACGAATTGAGTTAAGGGTTTAATTTGGCTCTTATTAGCAATTCACGTATCCAGCAACATCCCATCTGTGAGACAGAAAGGCGCTCCAGTGAACAGGGGGGTGGGCTTCGTTTGCAGAAAAGACAGAAGGAAGCACAAACAAGCAGATTGGTCATTTCTTTCTTCTTCTTCTTCTTCTTTTTTTTTTTTTTTTTGTTCTGGGAATCGAACTCAGGGCCTTGCACTTGCCCAGGCAGGTGCTGTGCCTCTGAGCTATATCCCTGGCCAGATTGGTCATTTCCAGGTGACTTTCCTTAGAGGATGCTATGGTTTAGACATCATTAGAGTGTGACCTCCAAGATTCCTTGGTGACAGATTGGTCCTTGGATCGTTTGGCACACTGGGGACCCTTTAAGTGGTGGGGCTTAGTTCAGGGTCACTGGGCCATCAGAAGTGCTGCCCTCCGAAAGGGTTGATTCCAGCCTCATAGAGTGAGTTAGTTGTTCTTGCAAGACGGAGTTGTCATAAAAGAGCAAGCCTGACTCCTGAATGTCTCTGGCTTTTTGTCTTACCGTGATGTCATGGTCATTAATTAGTCCCTCCCCAGAGGCTGAGCAAAGGGGCTGCCTGATCAATGACTTTTAGCCTCCAAAACTGTGAGCCAAAGAACATTCTTTTCTTTATACATTACCCGGGCATATCTTA